TATAGCAGTCTTGTCTTTGTTTGTGAAAGGCATCTATTAAATATTATAATCTTGTACACATTTTCCTACCTTTAATACTTTGTTTAGTTTCTGAAAGGCATCTATTAAATATTATATAGCAGTCTTGTACTTTAAGCACATTTTTCCTATTTTTAATACTTTGTTTAGTTTCTGAAAGGCATCTCAGTCAGTTATATGCCATGCGTGATACATGCTTAGGCGATCATGTATCTTTCGATGCATGACTGACGTGGCAGATTTTTTTCCCGCAGTAGGTTGCCACTTTTTTCTGCGGTAGACCAGTTGTCATCCAAGGCTAGAGAACTAGAGAACACGGTCTCTCCTGCTATTTAGCCATAGAGAAGAGGATTCATACCTTTCCCATTCACGTAAGTCAATATAATGGATTTGACGGGATTTCGAACTCGGCTCTCTGATTCCTCAATCCTAGCCGCTATCCATTACTCCACCGTCCAGTCCAGTACTTTAAGCACATTTTCTTACCTTTAATACTTAGTTTCTGAAAGGCATCTTTCACTATTCAGATGCATTTTCATATTTCTGTGTATTTACTACAGTATCTAAACAGTTAATTCCATAGACAACTTACTAAACATAGTTTCTATAACAAACAAGTTATCGTTTATGTTACTGGGTTGTATCGTCACTCGTAGTACTTTTGCAGCTAAGCGGTTGACCCTGTTTTACTCAGCTGAATTGGGATATGGAACTCTATTGGTCCACGGCTTACATTCATCTCACATATCTGGCTCCAAGTGATTGCATGGAAACAGTTTAGCCGACCACATCCAGGTCAACGGCATCGGCTTGCCGACTAAACTGTGTGAGGTTAGTCGGAGGAGTTCAATCCGCCTGCACCAAGCTGTCATCGTCCAATCGTCAGTATTGAGCGTAGGGACTCCAGTGGGCGGAGGAACTTCTGAGTGGAGGCAGTGGATGACCTCAACATCCCCGGTGCAAAAGGAGCCGGCAAACCATTGTACTTATTTTTCCTTGAATATCACCATGAACCACAATTGAGACAGACATAAGGGGAGTGCTTAGCGCAGCAGTGCAAAATGCGCCAATGGAATTAGTGATGATGATGAGGATAATGATGTTATCTGGTGTTACGCTTTCTATTGTCTCTTACTACATTCCCCACAGTTATATTCTTTGCCAACTTGATTGAGACATTACCAATATGTAGATAGTGATTTTCCAAGCGTAGCTTAGATGTGGCGCAAGGCCGAAAGCATGGGGCACCCAGTAAGGGTTGATTTTATTCAGTCGTAATTGTTCTAGCGAGACAAGCTTGCTAACCATTACACCTCCTCGAGGTGCCCTACCAATATGTAGATATGTCTCATTGTGTCTACATATTTAGAATGTCAAAACCTTAGAGAATATTATTGAACTCTCGCCATGACATATGGCTGAAACATTCTAAAGCTACTGATGTTGCCAGTATTCAGACATCAATTTTTTCCATTCCCCGATCCCTTACTCAAATCGTTGACTTCCCTACTCGTTTCTGTAGCAAAATCGAGAAAAACTTGATTTATTTCTTACATCCTCTTCTGGCTCTTGCCGAGTTTCGCAACACCGCCCTTTTTGTAACTCGGACTACTCTGAAGTATCGACTGATATTTTGTTCCAGTCGTCTTTTAAACAGGAAACCCCTATTTATATAACCCCTTTCCCTTACCAGCATGCCGATTGGGATTCGCTCCGTGATTTTTCTCGTGACGTCCCTCGACTGCCATTTTTAACCTCCCAGTTGTGATTTTGCGCCACTAAGATTTCTTCTTGGGTCAAAGCCGGCATGGGCGCTTTCATCCCTTATCGGAAATACCAGGTGAAACCTCAAGCCTCTCCGTGGTTTATATCAGCATGCTCGGTCACTATAGCACACAGAAACTACTATTTTAGGCCATACCAGCATGACAGCTCTCGTCACAACAGACACCTATTCGTTGCTGCTTTTTGCCGAGAGAATAAGGCACCTTATTTGATTTAACATCATTGGCTCTCGTGATTACTGGCGGCTCTGTAATAAGTTATTAAATAATTGTAAGGTCTCTATTCCTCTCCTCTTCAGTCAATTTGAGGTGTTATTATCCTCTGCTGATAAAGCTGAATGCTTTGCCCGTAAATTCTTCTTAAACTCTACTGTTGACTCATATGGAGCATCTGATTTACTTTTGATTCAATTATGCACGGTAACTTCAACTTTGGCACTTGATTAAAATACTGGCCTTTCAACGTCTGTTTTAATTTCCAATCTTGTTAATAAACACTCTAATAAAAAAATAGGGTTTAATATCTGTGTATTTGTCCATTCACCAATCCCTTACTCAAATCGTTGACTACTGATTTTTCTAGCAAAACCGAACAACAAGCTTCTCTACTTGATTTATTTCTTACATCCTCCCCTCTCTCTTGCCGAGTTTCGCAACACCGCCTTCTTGGTAACTCGTACCCCTCTGCGGCACCTATTGACATTTAGTTCCAATCATCCATTAAAATGGAACCCCCTATCCATAAGACCGCTTTCCGTTACCAGCATGCAAATTCGAACTCACTCTGTAATTTGCTTCGTGAATGGACCGACGTCTTTAAACTCCCAATTGTAAATTGCACCACTGAAGTTTATTCTTGGATCGAAGCCGGAATAGACGCTTTCATCCCTTTTCGGAAATACTAGCTGAATTACACTGCATTGTTGATACCAGCTTTCTCGATCGATATAGTACACATAAATCACTATTTTCGACTATAACAGCGTGACAACTCTCGTCACAACAGGCGCCTATTTGTTACTGCTCGTAATTAATGTAAACGAGTCCTCGAAGCAGCTATGTTCCCATTTGCCGATAGAATGAAGTCCAGCATAGCTTCTAACAACTTTGGCTCTCGCTTTTACTTGCGGTTCTGTAATAAGGTACTAAATAAGCGCGAGGTCTCTATTCTCCCACTTTTCAATCAATTTCAGGTGTTATCATCCTCTGCTGATAAGGCTGAACGCTTTGCCTATAAATTCTCCTCAAACTCTACAAAGCTCTTGGAGAGATTCACAATACTGCCCTCTTGGTAACTCGTACCACTCTGTGGCAGCTACTGAATTTCGTTTCAAACATTCGTTAAACAGGAACTCTGTATCCATAAGACCTAACTGGAACTTACTCCGTGCTTTTTTTTCTTGACGCCCCTGATATCTTTAACTTCCCAATTGAAAATTACGCCACTGAGGCTTCTTCCTGGGTGAAAGCCGGCATGGAGGCTTGCATCCCTTCAGGGAAACACCAGGTGAAACCTCAATCCATGGTTCACAGCAGAATGTTCGGCCGCTAGAACTCACAGGAAACACTATTTTCGGCTATACCAGCGTGACAGCTCTCGTCACAACAGGCCCCTATTTGTTACTGCTCGTAATTAATGTAAACGAGTCCTCGAAGCAGCTTAGTTTACATTTACCAAGAGAATGAGGCCTCTAACAACTTTGGCTCTCGTTATTACTGGCGGTTCTGTAATATGGTACTAAACAAGCGCAAGGTATCTATTCTCCCCCTTTTCAATCAATCTCAGATATTATCATCCTCTGCTGATAAGGCTGAACGCTTTGCTTGTAAATCCTTCTCAAACTCTACTCTTGACTCATCTGGAATATCCCTGCCTTACTTCCCAGTTAGAACTGAGTCTCTGTTGAGTGATATATATATATAACCCCCTTCAAAGTTTTCTGCTATCATCTCTAACGTAGATCCGCTCAAGTCATGTGAACCTGATGTTATTCCTGTAATAGTCATTAGAGAAGTGAGCTCCTGATCTGACTCCTGTTCTCTCTAAACTGTATAAGAAATTCCTCGTTGCTTCTTGCTTTCCCGCCTGCTGGAAGTCATTGTCTGTTGTTCCAGTTTTTTAGAACTCTGGTGAACCGTCCGACCCTGCCAACTATCGGTCTATTAAATTTCTACCTCTTTTATGGAAAATCCTAGCGGCCTTAATCAATGCTGACTTGATTCATCATGTCTCATCGCAGGGCCTTTTCGAAGACAAGCAATATGGCTTTCGTTTCTTCAAGTGAACTGCTGATGTACTGACGATTTTTGCGGAAAGTCTCTCACATATTCTAGATAAAAACAGTGAAGCCCATGCACTGGATATCTCGAAGGCCTTTGACAGGGTCTGGAATTCTGGTCTTCTCTAAAAGCTGAAATGTAACGGTGTCTCCAGACACATTTTTGAGCTGATCCAGTCTTTCCTATTAAATCGTGAAATGAAAGTTAACCTGAACAGCCACTCGTGTAGATCCCTTCGTACTAATAAAGGGGTCCCCCAGTGTTCCATCCTTGGTACTATTTTGTTTTTAATTCTCATTAATGATCTTCTTGAGGACATCAGCTCTCAGCTTGGCATCTACGCTGACGATACATCCATTTACTCCTGCCTCGATATTAAGGCTGATCACTCCAACAAGGTCAAAATGGCAACCGATGCCCAAAACGACCCCCAGTCCATTGTTAACTGGGGCAAAAGATGGCTTGTTAATTTTAACGTCTCCAAACCTAAACTACTCTCCATTAATCATCTGAGAGACGACTCACTGCCTTCAATCAACATGGCTGTTGCTAACCTTCAGGAAAATGACTCGTTGCGCCTTCTCGAGCTAACGTCCTCGGCTGTCATGAAGTGGAAAGACTATGTTGAATAGCCATGCTGAAAGAGTAAGTTTTCAAATATAAAACATTTATTTTTCGCCTAATAGCTGCCACTGGTTATGGATTTTTCTCATTGAAAAACAAACTTACAGAAGTTTTGTACAAACGGAGACGTCCCACTTTTTTCAGTGAAACATTACCCACTGCCTAACTGTGATCGCATCCACTGTTTGATCTCCGTAAACGTTGAGCAATCGTTGAAGAATATCAAAGGAGACAATGTTTTTTGCATGAAAGAATTCAGTAAATCATCTCAGTTTCGTGGGCTCTTGTATGATATCAGAAATAAATAGATAAATAGATAGATATGAAGAGATAGATAGATATATAGATATGAAGAAAGAGATAGATATATCGATGGATATGAAGAAAGAGATAGATAGATAGATAGATAGATAGATAGATAGATAGATAGATATGAAGAGTCTGTTTATATTTCTGAGATGAGGTATTATGTACACTATTTACATTTGTTGTACGCTCCGGCCTTCTTCAGGTCATTGGAATGTCGAACTGAACCCTTTATTTCGCTCACTGGGGTAGACTGTTCTAGTTCCACGTGCCATGTATAATGGATGTCAGTTATCAGTTATCTCCTGTTAATTCCCCTCTCCAAGTTCTCTACTGCCTTAGCCGGGTATTGAACTCACACTCTTTGGGTCCTGTCACTGGATTTAACTAATGCCTTTATCCACTGTTACAGGACCCAAAGAGTGTGAGTTCAATACCCGGTTAAGGCAGTGGAGAAACGTTGTAATAAATATGGCGACAAAGATGAGGACATTAGTCCGAATAATTTAAATAGTGTAGATATGAAGAAATATTGCTAGGTCAGCTGTTAAGAAAGTCAGTTCACTGTGTCGTTCGAGACAATTTTTCTCTCCGGAATCTATCTTGCATATCTATAAGTCTATAATTCCTCCATGCTTAGAATATTGTTGTCATATATGGTCTGGTGATCCAGCTATTTACCTGGATCTCCTTGATAAGATCCAAAGAAAAATCAGCCATATTATTAGTCCTGATTTGGCGGCTCGACTGCAGTCTCTTACCCATCGCCATGAGGCTGCCTCTCTGTGGCTTTTCTATAAATACTTTCATGGTAATTGTTTGGATGAGCTCCTCTCTCTGGTACCTAGACATTATGAATTTAAGCGCAGCGCTAGACTGGAGACGAGATCTCATCAATTTACAATTGAGCTGGCGAGATGTAACCGTAAGTTCTATGCTAACAATTTATTTGATCACACTTCTTGCTTGTGAAACACCCTTCTTGCTCTACGCTTTCCAGTCAACTCTAATCTGAAAAAATTTAAATGCAATGTCAATCGCTATCTGTTGTCCTGATTGCTCTTTTGTATTTCTACTTTCTATTAATGTTTCTGTTCCTAATTCTTTCACACCCAGTAATGCATGACTTGCATAGTGTGATACCGTTTTAAAAAAAAATCCCTCCAGGAGAGTGACTCATTGCGCCTTTGCGGGCTAAGCATTTTCATTGACACGTGGAACGATTATACCGAATCAATTGCTAAATCCACTGCTAGGAAAGTTGGTTCATTTTGTCTTGCTAGAAATCTTTCTCGACATAATCTCTATCTATAAAAGGCAGGATGTGTGTGTGTAACGAATGCACGGCCGCAATTTTCGACGGATTTGCACCAAAATTTACATGCACATGCTCCAAGTTAGTGGCAAGGCCAAGACCGATATTGCATTTCCCAACTCCCATTGATAGTGGAAATAATCGATTTTTTCATGCTTCTATGGCACTTTTCATGTAGTTTGCGGCCATTTTCTACTGGCCAGAGTGAGAGCCTATAGCTGGCTGCCACGAATAGGCAGGAAGATTCTATTGGCCAGCGTGAGAGACAACAGCTGACTGACACGAATGTTAACTAGCATGCTAGCATGCAAAAAAAATCGATAGCTGCATTCGTCACAGGTGGGAAAAATTTAAATCTGCATGGCATTTTACTCCAATTGGCTCATTCGCTTGCTTAAACTCAACGTTGATTCTTATTCTGAACTGGGTTGGGTGTGAAAAAGTATTTGTTGTTAACATTCTCTTTTCATTCGGTTTTTCCAGTTACGACTCCTTTTTTTAAAGCTGATCGTTTTGTGTTCATTTTGTTTAGTTCTTTTTTCGTAACAGATTTAATGTTTAGTATAGAACTTAGAAAAAATTCGTAGTGTGAGATAGGCAAGAAGTAAAGCATGTAGCAACATCAGCATGGCAAAGGGCACTCCTTTAAAAGCAAGGAAGGGCAAAAATATTTTAAGTCAAGTGATAGTGATTGCTGTATGAGTTGTACGATTTTTGAGTCAAGCACGGGCAACGCTGGGCCATGCTGCAAGTATATCTTATATATCTACACTTCCCCCGTTCATCGAATGTTGCTGCTACATCTGATCTGGTGCTTGTGTTATGTGTCTAGAGATTCTTGGAAAAATCCAAAGAAGAATCTGTAATATTATTTGTTCTGTCCTGGCATCTCGACTTCAATCCATCTTAACTTAGCTTTACTATAAATATTTTTATGGTAACTGTTTAGTTGAGTTCTTCACTATGGTACTTGACTTTACAAAATTAAGCGCTGTCCTAGATTGACACCTCATAATTTCATTGTTGACATTGCTAGATGTAACCGTAAGTTCTACGCTAACAGTTTCTTCTCACGCACTTCTCGCTTGTGGAACGTTCTTCTGGCTTCTTGCTTTCCAGTCTACTTTGATTCTCGAAAATTTAAATGCAGTGTCAATCGCCGTCTTCTGTCTCCTTGAATCTTGTTATTTTATTGTCTTTTCTCCTTAATGATTTTTCTCAGATTCTTTCACTCTAAGTAAGAATTCGCATCTTAGTGGCTTTGTCGCCTTACTTAGAATGATATGATTAAAAAAAAAACAGTTCATAAATGACAATATTTCATCATCCCAAAGTTTTCTTCCTGATGAATGGTTATTCTCTCAATGAGACATTTTAGAACTCATCACCCACTCAGACGTCAAGTGCAACGATACATTGTTGAAGATACTCCGTGTACCGCTCCACAAAATACCACAAAATCTCTCATAAAGCAATAAAAGCTAGAATGTCTCCTCACAAATGAAGTGTGAAAGAAGATCTGTCTAATCTCTCATATAGAAATAAAAAGTAAACAGAGATCTATCTAAATAGAAATAAAGGGGAATGTCGTGTCTAATCTCTCATATAGAAATAAAGGCTGGAATGTCACTTGACAAATGAAGTGTAAACTTGAAGCAACAGAGATGAGACATTACGGAATGTCGTATCTGATCTCTCATATAGCAATAAAGTCTAGAACGTGTCTTCACAAATGAAGTGTAGATGAGACATTACGGAATGTCGTATCTAACTTGAATCAACAGACAAATGAAGTAATGAGACTTAACGGAATGTCGTTTCATATAATTCTAGAACGTGTCTTCACAAATATAGACAATAAAGGCTGGACTTAAAATGTCTAATTTCTTCACAAATAAAGTGCAGATTTGATGCGGCGGAAGATGTAAAGCTTCGGAATGCTGATGAAAAATAGCATAGACAGAACATGTGTGTAACGAGGAAGTGTTCATCCTGTTTAAGCCCCGGGGGCCACTCGAGGTAGAAGAGTAAGTGGCACGCTTTTTGCGGATATGTGTGGTTAACCCATGATTTGAAGATGTTAAGACTGTTGTGATCAGGGAAGCAACCTCTTGGGAGTTGGTTCTACACGATAGTAGTTCGTGGGAAGAAGCTGCTTGAGTAGAACTTACATCTAACCAGGGGAATACGAAAGGAATGAGGGTAGCTCATTACAATGGGCGGGGCATGGCGAGTCTTAGCGAAGGAAGTTAGAATTAGTGGTACTAAGAGTAGCCCATCTAAACTCTCACCATGGAAATAGCGATAGAGCAGAGAGATTCTTGCGACGTCTTGTCTGTGAGAAAGAGATTGCTTAATGGATAATAATTAGTCGCCTACAAGGACGCGGAGACGCTTTTCGAATCGTTGGAGTGGAAAGTGAAGATGGGCATCTCCCGGTCATATATGGACACAGTACTTCATTTTAGGTCTGATCTAGCTCTTGTAAATATAGAAGATAGCGGGAGGAGAGAGGTACTTGCTGGAGCGGGTATAGGGAACCGCCAAATCCTCCACGATATTTAACGATGGATTGTATGTACGAATACCACTTCAATAATTGGGTTGAGTTTAAGTCACAAGAGGCGCTCAAAGCACGAGTTTTCCCTGAGAAAGTGAAAGTTCTGGGTGGGAACCAAAATAAATGTTATGCTTAGAATCTGAAATAAGATCGTTAAAATTTCTGAAACGCATAATGAGAAAAGAGGGCACAGAGAATTTAACACTCACATGGCATACTGAAGGCAAGATTGCGGAGGGAAGCACTGAGTGTCCTGCCTGGTAGGCTTTTGTGAATAGATGGTAGAGTGTTGTCAAAGAGGGACAGCAAGGAGTTTAACGTTGTTTAGGGCTAAAAGGAACAGGAAGTTGTGTGGGGTCATGATCGCCAACGCCCTGAAGGGACACATCGCATAAAGAAGGATATGGAAGTGCGCCAGAGGTCGCGACAAACAGTCGAAGATCAATGACTTCGTACACAATTCGGTAGCCGGAAAGCCTACTTGGAAGGCGGTGCTTTAGACAGTTCTAAAGAAAACTCTTGGAGGGGATTTTAAAACTTCTCTTGGCTACTTTCCCAACATGTCTAAACAGTCGTTTTGGAAAAGGGTCAGACAATATCTTTTGGGGATTACTGTCACCAACGGAAAGGGATTATTGTTGAAGAATTTATCTTTTTTTGGCAGGAGGGACCTTTGGAATACAAGTCATAAAAAAAGAAATAAAAACCAAAAAGAAGGTGAAAGAAAAAGAGAATAGTGAAAAAAGAAGGAACAGTAGGAGGATGTAAAGAAGAAGAGAGGGAGTGCGAAGAAAAAGAAACACTATTAAAAGGATAGAAGAAGAAGAAGAAGAAGAAGAAGAAGAAGAAGAAGAAGAAGAAGAAGAAGAAGAAGAAAATAAATTAGAATGAAGGGGAGGGAAAAAGAAAAAAGCGAAGGAGGAAAAAGAAGAAAGGAAAAAAAAAGGAAAAGTAGTAGGGTTGTAGAAAAAACGGAGGAGGGAAAAGGAACAGAAGGAAGAGTAGGAAGAGGGGAAACAGGTAAGAAAAAAGGAAAGAGTAGAGAGAAATTCAAGAAAGAGGAAAAAAGGGAAGATAAAAAGAAACAGAGAGAATGGTAAGAAGATAAAGGGAAAGTTGAAAAGTTCTGAAAAGAAAAGGGAAAAGAGAAAGAGGACGAAGATAAGAAAAATGGTAGAAAGAATACAAGAAAAAAAATGAGGAAGAGCTGAAAGAAGAAGCAGAACAAAAAGAAGAAGAAGAAGAAGAAGAAGAAGAAGAAGAAGAAGAAGAAGAAGAAGAAAAAGAAGTGTGAATCAGGCGATAGATGAACTTATCTACTGCTATTTATAATAATAATAATAATAATGATGATGATGATGATAATAATAATAATAATGTTGATGATGATGAATTATATAGTTCGAATTCAGCGGAAGAAAAGCCTTGTAAAGGGATTGGGAAAAGAGGAAATGCTTGAATGCATCCAGACAACAGTATTACCAAAATCAGCAACAATACTAAGGATTGAACTACTGTAAAAGTAAACTTATTGTCACTTAATCACAATGACTAAATAGAGTAAAAAGATATGGTTTAATAATTACTTAACCATTATTTTTAGTGGATACTAATATTTAAGTAGGCGATCCGTTTATTTATTAAAGATTATATTTATTTATTTTCGTCTACCGGCCTGAATATTCGAGAAATTCTATTAAAGAAAATATATGATGGAGAACCCACATTTTTCTTTGATAAATTAAAAAAAAATCTGTTTAATAAATAAACGGATTGAACTCGTCAACATTGCTTGATTGACGACTTACTCTGTGGACGTGTCGGTTTAAAATATTTCGGACCTGATGTTGGTTTCTCCTGTCAAGGGGACGCATATTCAAATCCAGTCTTAGAACTTATATTTTGTTTAATAAGATTTCTCGAATATTCAGGACGGGAGACGAAAATAAATAAATATATTGTTCAAGAAACAAAAGGAGGGTTTATTCAAATATGGTTATACCCTAAAAATGACGTTTAAGTAAAAAAAAAAATCTGTTTGTAAATCTAAATTTGAAGATGATTTATCTAGATTTTTCAATTAGCCTGATCAATATGTATAAGAGTTTTTAAATTAAAAAAGATTCTGAAAAACTTGTTTTAAAATAATTATATTTTCTTAGATAAAAGTCCATCAGAGGATACAACGCGTCTGTTAAGAAAAGTTTTCCTTTTCATTGGCAAAGCTTCTTCTTGGTTAAGTCCATTAAAACAGGTCGGATCTAACGACGTTTTCCCTCTGAACAGGGGGACTCATGTTTAAGCGCATATGTATCTTTCTAAAAGTTTCTCGAATGTTCAGGCTGGTAGACGAAAATGAATAAATATCCTGTTTAATAAATAAACGGAGCATCTACTTAAATATTAGTATCCATTAAAAATAACGTTTAAAAAATGATAAAAATGTGTCGAGTTAATAAATAAGAAATCCATCACTTCTTTAGAAATTGCTTTGTTTACGTTAGGATACGAAACTGAGTAGATATGAATGTTGGAGAGTCTGAGAAAGATTTTCTCTTATAAGGTACTATTAAACTCGTCGTTGACGCAATCTGTAGTCGTGTCGGTTTAAAGCAGGTCGTATCTTACGACGGTTTCTCCTATCAAGGAGGACGCAGATTCGAATCCTACCAGAGGGCGCATTTTTTTCTTTTCATACTGGTAGACTAAAATAAAGAAATATACTGTTTAATAAATCAACAGAACGTCTACTCAAATATGGGTATCCACTAGAAATAACATAGAAGAAATAAAATCTGTCGAATTAAATAAAAAATCCATAACTCCTGATGATTGATGGTGATTAAGAATGATTGACTAAATAGAGTTAAAAGATATGATTGAAGATAGAGATTAAAAATTGTGGGAAAATTTTGGGGTATAAGAAGATGTTTGGAAGTCGTCGGTGCTACCACGATGTCACAGTTCAGCGTGACCGAGGATGTGAGCGTTGCTCATGATAGATTACACTGGTCAACACGATTTTTGGTGGCAAGAAACAAAACAGATATTTTAGCTAATTTTATGGTGCTGATTCCGAAAGTGACCTTAGATTTTCATGGTTAATTACCATTTTTGATGTACTGGAGTTGCTCATTTCTGAAAAAAAAAAACATAAATTCACGATCTTGGCCTATCGAAAAATTTAGTTAATAAAGATTGTAGAAACATTTCAGTTTTCAGGTAAGTCGAGTAATTTATGTCAGCCACCTGAAATAAACTATTTTTATAAGAAAAAAAGTATTTTTAAGTAAAAAAATTTATAATAGAAATTCCGATTTTTTCCAATTTATCGCCAAAATTCAAAGTAACTGATAAACTTTATCAATAATACTCTTTAGTAAACCTGATAATTAAGGCGACATAAAAATGAGACTTTAAAATCTTCTGTTTGATATTCATAAAATTTTGTAATGAATATGCATACACCAGGGTTCACCTCACAGTAATATGATTGGCTGGTGTCAGCCATAAATACAGACTGATGTGGAGGTACAGGAGGATGTCTATTGGCTACTCCTATTGCCTACGCCTATTGCCTATCACTACGACGAGGACCAGTCCATTACGGTTA